CCGCACGAGCGGCTGCAGGTGCTCCAGGGCGCCCACGGGCTCCAGAGGCCGCAGTCCCGCTCATCGGAGGGCAGCCAACCCGAAGCCTCCGTGCCGTCCGCACAATTGGCCAGACCGTTGCACACCTGCGAGAAACGCAGCCTGCGTTGGGCCAGAAGCAGCTGGGAGGGCTCTGAACTAGAGCAGTGTGTGCCCTTCTGGACTGCCCCCCTTTCTGCCACTGATGCCAAGCCCGAAGCCCCTCCGAGCACTGAGAGCGTCCGTCGTGTTCTCCTGCCCCAGCAGGCTCCGCAGATGGACTCTCCTGCCCAGAACTGACAGCGCTGGCAGCGCGTTCCCGCAGGCAGTGAAGTTGGGTGCCCTCTCGCTTCCTCTGCAGTTCTCAGGAATGATTGAGGCACAGAGCAGGTGGGAAAGAGAGAGGAATGGGTGGGTGGCAAGCAGGAGGGCCGGCCGAGAGTGCATTACGCACAATCTGTTTGTACTGTCCTTGTGGTGTTTTTACTACAGACACCCGTAATCCCTCCAGGGCCTGTTTAGTCTGAGTCAGTGAATAACCGAACGAAAGAGGAACCCTTCAGGCTGAAGAGCAAGGGCGGTGACAGGGAAGGCAGGAAGGGGGGCCCAGCTCCCCACTGCACCTGTTTAAAGGCAATGCAGGTGCCGTCCCCACAGGAATATTCTGGACAAGGTCCCACCGTCTGATTCCTTCCGCCCGGAGGAGCCACCGGGATTTCTGTGTGGGTCAGAATGAGCAGCCGTGAGAACCAGCAGACAGCACCATCCACCCCCTGGCGCCCCCCCAGTCACCGGGAGGACTGGGAATGCTGGGAGCATCCGTTTGCTCTAATCTACCCCGTTGACCCAGTGGGGTCCATGGGTAACTTCCTGTTCTCCGCACCCTCTTGGGATTCTCCTGCATGAATCTTCTCCTAACCCTAAGCAAGAATATCCCGTGGGTTGCTAGCGGCTCCGCAAGAGGCTGTGATTCAAAGAAAAATAAAGATCCCTTTTTGAACTTTGCGCACCGCCCAATGCTGGGCTCAGCTCACTGATCCCGCTAACCTACCATGAGCTTTAGATGTAATAATTTTTACGTGGGGGGTCCCTGAGACTTGACAATTATTTCAAGGGCTCCGAAGCAGACTGTGAAAGGAACTCAGGGTCTGGACGGCACAGAGCAACGGGGGTGACTGGGGGATGCACGCGGAGCGTCTGGTAACTGATTTAGGTTATTCAAATCCAGCTAAATCTGCAGGATGGCTCCGAAAAAGGGCAAACGGGGGATGTTGCGAAATTGAAAATGCCCCCTCCAGGAGACTGCTGCACCAGCGCTCGATCCCTTACCCCTTTTCCCAGGAAAAGATTCAAAACGCCGGGCGTCCCTTGGCCTCCAAGTCTGCCCCTGCCAGGCTCCCATGCGAGATGCCCAGCCCAGTCCTCTGCGGGCCACGCAGGCAGCGAAGGGAGAGGACCGGGAGGCCCTTGGCGACTACGCTGTCCCCCCCTGCCCCGGGGCTGCCCTTCCTTACCACAGGCGAGCTCGTCTTCTCCCTGGGAGCAGTCGGGGGAGCCATCGCACACCCGGGACACGTTGATGCACATGCGGTCGTTGCAGATGAAGAACCCTGGGCAAGGCGGGATCTGAGTTGAGCCTGCCCCGGGGAGAGAGAAGGGCCCCTGTGAAACAGGCCTAGGAAGTCCGGGCGTGAAGGGGCTTGAGCTTGGAAGACAGAGGCGGATCGGCTCTTCTTTGGGACCCCGGGCCCTGGGTTTGAATAGCGCTCCCCTCTGCCCCACTCCTGCCCCCGGATCCCTAGTCGGGCAGCGAGACGGAGAAGGGAGGAATGGAGGCCCTCGGGAGAAGCCTGTCTCATGGCAGCCGAGGGCGCAGCTAGAAGAGGCCCCTCACCGCAGGTGTCCACGCTCTCATCTGACTGGTCCTGGCAGTGAGGGACGCCATCGCAGAGCTGCTGGTAGTGGACGCACTCAGCCCCGTGGGCGCAGGGGAACTGGCCCAGTTCACACGTGCGATTGCAGTGCAGTTCGTCACTGCCATCCAGGCAATCGGCTTCATTGTCGCACACCCAGCCCCGTGGCTGGCACTCCCCGCTGTGGCAGTGGAACTCGTAACGCCCACAGGGTGGCACTGTGCAGAAGGAAGGACAGAGAATCGGAGGGTCCGCTCCATGCCCACCCAGCCTCCCCCAAACTTGCACCAGAGGACGATGGGGGCTGCAGCCCAATCACTGGGGGGAGGATGAGGAATATAGGAGATCCCTTCTCATTGCCCATCAACGATTCCCGTTTCTTGTTCTGAACAAGCTCCGTGCACTCCCCGTTTGACTGTTTCTGCTCCCTGACAGCCGATGATTTTGAAATGCAGAGAACAACCTACGGCCCAAGGAAGGAGCCAGAGGCTGGGCAAGGTGAGGGGCTTTGCCAGTGGGGAATGGGACGGCCAGGAGCTCTGCAACGGCTGCCCGTAGCTCCCAGCGGAGGTAATTCCCAGGTCTTGGGAATCCATCCTGTTGGCCCAACCCAGGAATTGAGCAACCTTGCGACCTCTATTTCTTGTGCCTGCTTCTTATATTTGACCATTCTGCCAAAGTGGGGCCAAAAGCCTCTTCTGCGCTCCTTGACCATACGGATGCTGTGGGTGAGTTCCCAGAACTACTGTCAAGCCACAAGTTGGTCAAAGTATGTTGTGAGGCTGACAGGCTGGGTGCGATGTGACAGCTCCTCTTCCAGAAGATCACGGACCACGCGGGAGCTGTGGATATCCAGATACCCCAAGCCTCCTTACCCAGGGTCCTGTTGGTGACAGGCTGATGAGTCCCAGGAAAGCTTGGCTGAACGGTGGGCACAAGAGGGGTGGTCCGTATCCCTCGGCACCGAGCGGGTTCCTCATCGGCACCATCTTCGCAATCGGGCACACCATCACACACCCGCGTACGGCTCACACAGGTGGCATTTGGACAAGGGAGCTGCCCCGGGGCACACACCACCGGACCTGTAGCAAGGTGGGGAATGCAGCCAGTGCCTGACAGCTAAAAACCTGGCCTCCCACTGGGGAGAACTCCTGCCTGCTCTGGATACTTGCTGAAATGCCTGGATAAGAAAGGAGGGGCCTTTCCCGGCCGTCGGACCCCAGCAGGCCCATGTAGTGGGGCTTTAGAGAAGAAGCTCTAGAGCTCTTCACATGACTTCTTGTGGGAGGCACGTCTGATGAACAAAGGAGGAATCTTTGGATTCTTGGATCAAATTAGGTCAGTTGATGTTCTCTCTCTGTCTTGTCGTCCTAGTGGATCCTGGATCGCTCTCAGGCCATTGCCTACACAGATGGGAGGGTCTTCATGGAGTAACAGATTGGGCAAGTCTGAATAAACTGGGAAGAGGTCACTCCTTCCGGGTCCACTGTGGCAGAAGGAGGCCAAGCACGCCCCAAGGGTTTGCCAAGAAGTGATATTCCCATTGGGGTCCAGGCATCTGCTAAAAGCCACACTGACGTGAAAAGTCGTGTGTTTGGTTTTATTCTATTTTTACTCTATTTTTATATTGTTTTTATTGTATTTTAATTAATATT